CTAGGTGTGTGTAGTTAGTAGACCTAGTGGTGTTGTGTAGTTAGTAACCTAGTGGGGTTTGCTGTAGTTAGTTAGACCTAGTGGTGTTGCTAGTTAGTAGACCTAGTGGTGTTGCTGTAGTTAGTAGACCTAGTGGTGTTGCTGTAGTTAGTAGACCTAGTGGTGTTGCTGTAGTTAGTAGACCTAGTGGTGTTGCTGTAGTTAGTAGACCTAGTGGTGTTGCTGTAAGTTAGTAGACCTAGTTGGTGTTGCTGTAGTTGTAGACCTAGTGGTGTTGCTGTAGTTAGTAGACCTAGTGGTGTTGCTGTAGTTAGTAGACCTAGTGGTGTTGCTGTAGTTAGTAGACCTAGTGGTGTTGCTGTAGTTAGTAACCTAGTGTGTTGCTGTAGTTAGTAGACCTAGTGGTGTTGCTGTAGTTAGTAGACCTAGTGGTGTTGCTGTAGTTAGTAGACCTAGTGGTGTTGCTGTAATTAGTAGACCTAGTGGTGTTGCTGTAGTTAGTAGACCTAGTGGTGTTGCTGTAGTTAGTAGACCTAGTGGGTGTTGCTGTAGTTAGTAGACCTAGTGGTGTTTGCAGTGCTATGTTCAGTAGTAGACCTAGTGGTGTTGCTGTAGTTAGTAGACCTGTGTGTTGCTGTAGTTAGTAGACCTAGTGGGTGCTGTTAGTAGACCTAGTGGTGTTGCTGTAGTTAGTAGACCTAGTGGTGTTGCTGTAGTTAGTAGACCTAGTGGTGTTGCTGTAGTTAGTAGACCTAGTGGTGTTGCTGTAGTTAGTAGACCTAGTGGTGTTGCTGTAGTTAGTAGACCTAGTGTGTGTTGCCTGTAGTTAGTAGACCTAGTGGTGTTGCTGTAGTTAGTAGACCTAGTGGTGTTGCTGTAGTTAGTAGACCTAGTGGTGTTGCTGTAGTTAGTAGACCTAGTGGTGTTGCTGTAGTTAGTAGACCTAGTGTGTGTTGCTGTAGTTAGTAGACCTAGTGGTGTTGCTGTAGTTAGTTAGACCTAGTGGTGTTGCTGTAGTTAGTAGACCTAGTGGTGTTGCTGTAGTTAGTAGACCTAGTGGTGTTGCTGTAGTTAGTAGACCTAGTGGTGTTGCTTGTAGTTAGTTAGTAGACCTAGTGGTGTTGCTGTAGTTAGTAGACCTAGTGGTGTTGCTGTGCTGTAGTTAGTAGACCTAGTGGTGTTGCTGTAGTTAGTAGACCTAGTGGTGTTGCTGTAGTTAGTAGACCTAGTGGTGTTGCTGTAGTTAGTAGTACCTAGTGGTGTTGCTGTAGTTAGTAGACCTAGTGGTGTTGCTGTAGTTAGTAGACCTAGTGGTGTTGCTGTAGTTAGTAGACCTAGTGGTGTTGCTGTAGTTAGTAGACCTAGTGTGTGTTGCTGTGTTAGTTAGTAACCTAGTGGTGTTGCTGTAGTTAGTAAGACCTAGTGGTGTTGCTGTAGTTAGTAGACCTAGTGGTGTTGCTGTAGTTAGTATGTGCTCTATAGTGTTGCTGTAGTTAGTAGACCTAGTGGTGATGCTGTAGTTAGTGCTAGTGTGTGCTGTAGTTAGTAGACCTAGTGGTGTTGCTGTAGTTAGTAGACCTAGTGGTGTTGCTGTAGTTAGTAGACCTAGTGGTGTTGCTGTAGTTAGTAGACCTAGTGGTGTTGCTGTAGTAGTAGTAGGGGTGTGCTGAGTTAACCTAGTGGTGTTGCTCAGTGTGTAGTAGACCTAGTGGTGTTGCTGTAGTTAGTAGACCTAGTGGTGTTGCTGTAGTTAGTTAGACCTAGTGGTGTTGCTGTAGTTAGTAGACCTAGTGGTGTTGCTGTAGTTAGTAGACCTAGTGGTGTTGCTGTAGTTAGTAGACCTAGTGGTGTTGCTGTAGTTAGTAGACCTAGTGGTGTTGCTGTAGTTAGTTAACCTAGTGGTGTTGCTGTAGTTAGTAGACCTAGTGGTGTTTGTTGTAGTTAGTAGACCTAGTGTGTGGTTGCTGTAGTTAGTAGACCTAGTGGTGTTGCTGTAGTTAGTAGACCTAGTGGTGTTGCTGTAGTTAGTAGACCTAGTGGTGTTGCTGTAGTTAGTAGACCTAGTGTGTTGCTAGTAGTTATAGGCCTAGTGGTGTTGCTGTAGTTAGTAGACCTAGTGGTGTTGCTGAGTTAGTAGACCTAGTGGTGTGCTGTAGTTAGTAGACCTAGTGGTGTTGCTGTAGTTAGTAGACCTAGTGGTGTTGCTGTAGTTAGTTAACCTAGTGGTGTTGCTGTAGTTAGTAGACCTAGTGGTGTTGCTGTAGTTAGTAGACCTAGTGGTGTTGCTGTAGTTAGTAGACCTAGTGGTGTTGCTGTAGTTAGTAGGACCTAGTGGTGTTGCTGTAGTTAGTAGACCTAGTGGTGTTGCTGTAGTTAGTTAGACCTAGTGGTGTTGCTGTAGTTAGTAACCTAGTGGTGTTGCTGTAGTTAGTAGACCTAGTGGTGTTGCTGTAGTTAGTAGACCTAGTGGTGTTGCTGTAGTTAGTAGACCTAGTGGTGTTGCTGTAGTTAGTAGACCTAGTGGTGTTGCTGTAGTTAGTAGACCTAGTGGTGTTGCTGTAGTTAGTAGACCTAGTGGTGTTGCTGTAGTTAGTAGACCTAGTGGTATTGCTCTAGCCCCTGTAGTTAGTAAATCTTGTAATGTTACTGCATCCCCTGCCTGATGTACTTGTCCTGGCACTTGATGTGCTTTTGTCTTAAGAAGTCTTCCCTGTTGCTATTTCTCCACACTTTCGACAGTAATTTCAGAACATTGTGTCACTAGTTTTGTCCCTCCTTAGCCACTTGAGTTTGCGAAACAACCCCTCTGAGGAGGTGTGTTGGCAGCATCTCCAACATCGTCCTCGTCCTTTTCTTCCGGATATGGTTGATCATTTCATCATTCGTTTTTTTTGGTTGAAGAAAGCTTCAATTCTGATGTTGCATTTCATTGTTGTTGTTGTTGCTAGCTATCTCGCTAGCTAATGCCATATAGCTGACTGAAAAGGTTCTGACGGAAGTTTGCGTTAAAAGAGATTGGTTGTACCTGGCGTGTGATTGTTCTAATTAGCTACATTTAAACATTTGTAGCATTATGATTGGTTAGGATTTGTAAACAATGTATCAGCCTGTCTTGTTTGAGCAGTGAAGAGAAGAGTGTTGTGGCTAAATATTGTTACGCATTGAGTTTTATATTGGGATGTTTTTTTTTGGTTGCAAAAATTGTTGCATATGCTACCCAATCGGTCACACTTTAGAACCCTGGGTGTACACTACACCATTTTGGCCCTGACTAAGCTCTCCCAGACACGTTTTTGAGATGGGGAGACAAAATCTCCATGTCGTTGCCTACTCGGGGATCATTTAATGTGAGCGGGTCAGAGACGCAACCTGAGGGCAACCTATCCGAGTCGTACAGGACGTCCCGATATTTTAAAACATTTGATTTTATCGGCACAAAATCAGCAATGCTCTTGTAGTGTGAGAACGGTGATCAGCAATAGCCAATGAGACAATGAAAGCTGGCCAGAGAAGAAGCCAGTGAGATGATGACGTTGTATTGCATCCCCCAGAATGTTGACTCTCCATCAGGAGCGATGACTCCTATAGTATGAATGTGTTGACTCTCCATCAGGAGCCATGACTCCTACTAGTATGAATGTGTTGACTCTCCATCAGGAGCAATGACTCCTACTAGTATGAATGTGTTGACTCTCCATCAGGAGCCATGACTACTATAGTATGAATGTGTTGACTCTCCATCAGGAGCGATGACTCCTACTAGTATGAATGTGTTGACTCTCCATCAGGAGCCATGACTCCTACTAGTATGAATGTGTTGACTCTCCATCAGGAGCGATGACTCCTACTAGTATGAATGTGTTGACTCTCCATCAGGAGCCATGACTCCTACTAGTATGAATGTGTTGACTCTCCATCAGGAGCATGACTCCTACTGTATGAATGTGTTGACTCTCCATCAGGAGCGATGACTCCTACTAGTATGAATGTGTTGACTCTCCATCAGGAGCGATGACTCCTACTAGTATGAATGTGTTGACTCTCCATCAGGAGCCATGACTCCTACTAGTATGAATGTGTTGACTCTCCATCAGGAGCATGACTCTATAGTATGAATGTGTTGACTCTCATCAGGAGCGATGACTCCTACTAGTATGAATGTGTTGACTCTCCATCAGGAGCCATGACTCCTACTAGTATGAATGTGTTGACTCTCCATCAGGAGCGATGACTCCTACTGGTATGAATGTGTTGACTCTCCATCAGGAGCGATGACCCTACTAGAGAATGTGTTGACTCTCCATCAGGAGCCATGGACTCCTACAGTATGAATGTGTTGACTCTCCATCAGGAGCGAGACTCCACTAGGTATGAATGGTTGACTCTCCATCAGGAGCCAGACTCCTACTAGTATGAAATGTGTGACTCTCCATTTGGAGCGATGACTCCTACTGGTATGAAGTGTGACTCCATTTGGAGCGATGACTCCTACTAGTATGAATGTGTTGACTCTCCATCAGGAGCGATGACTAGAGAAGGACTACTAGTATGCGTTTGTACTTTTCTTACCAAAGCCGAAGTGTCAACTCCTTACAACTCTGAAGTCAACAAAAAATTGTATTCAACTCAAAATGTATTGGCTAGATATTTCAACTCTGTATGGCAAGCGTGAATGTCTTACTGAAAACGTTTCTGAGACTGCTTTGAGCCACAGCTCGTTGTTACTACGTTAACAATCGAATGACATCATCACATCATTGTTTTAGAGAGAGGTGGTATGGAGAATCCTCACGACCAAGTCAAGAATCTTGTAGTTTGTGACTCCCCGTCTGTGCAACATTGTTTAGTGTGAGCAACACTACCTTGGAAAGACAACAAACTACAGGAAAGACGGTTGTTTAATGTGAGAGGCTCAGTGATATGATTTTGCAAGTCGTGTAGTGTGCGCCCGGCATTACCTGACTAGTATGCAGCCAATACTTGAATTTGGGGTCCTTGACTCTGGGTATAACGAAGTGGTAGATGATGTGTTCAGCCAGGGTGGTGAGGAGAGACAGAACCAACCCGACACATAGCATCAAAAACAGGCCTGAGAAATGCTTTATGCCCATTTGTAAGGTCTGGAGAGAGACAAAACAGACACACAGGCAGACACATCACAATACACTATTACACATCACTATACACTATTACACATCACTATACACTATTACACATCACTATACACTATTACACATCACTATACACTATTACACATCACTATACACTATTACACATCACTATACACTATTACACATCACTATACACTATTACACATCACTATACACTATTACACATCACTATACACTATTAAACATCACTATACACTATTAAACATCACTATACACTATTAAACATCACTATACACTTTTACACATCACTGTACACTATTAAACATCACTATACACTATTAAACATCACTGTACACTTTTACACATCACTATACACTACATCTATAATTGATGGAAGCTTATTGCTGCTAAGGGAATAAAGGCCAGTTTTTGGAAAGCTTCCATAATTTATAATGGACTCCATCATTAAGACTTCGAAAACACACAAATAACCACAGACTGATGGAGATGATTTAGTATTGCAATGTATTTTGATTAATATTTAAGTAGTGTGATGTACGTTAGGTAGTTACATTACCTCAGTGACGGCGAAGCTCCGTTTCCCACAAGGCACCACCTTGTACCACTTGTCATGCAGCATGTCCATGAAGCCGTCTGACTTGTACTGGCTCACCAGCTCAGAGATATTAGAGGTCAGGGGGGAGTTCTGGCGCAGGCCGATGCCATAACCTGGGAACAGATATACACATAGAGGTCAGGGGGGAGTTCTGGCGCAGGCCGATGCCATAACCTGGAAACAGATATACACATAGAGGTCAGGGGGGAGTTCTGGCGCAGGCCGATGCCATAACCTGGGAACAGATATACACATAGAGGTCAGGGGGGAGTTCTGGCGCAGGCCGATGCCATAACCTGGAAACAGATATACACATAGAGGTCAGGGGGGAGTTCTGGCGCAGGCCGATGCCATAACCTGGGAACAGATATACACATAGAGGTCAGGGGAGAGTTCTGGCGCAGGCCGATGCCATAACCTGGGAACAGATATACACATAGAGGTCAGGGGGGAGTTCTGGCGCAGGCCGATGCCATAACCTGGGAACAGATATACACATAGAGGTCAGGGGGGAGTTCTGGCGCAGGCCGATGCCATAACCTGGGAACAGATATACACATAGAGGTCAGGGGGAGTTTCTGGCGCAGGCCGATGCCATAACCTGGAACAGATATACACATAGAGGTCAGGGGGAGTTCTGGCGCAGGCCGATGCCATAACCTGGGAACAGATATACACATAGAGGTAGGTAGGGGGAGTTCTGGCCGGCCGAAGCCATAACCTGGGACAGATTCACATAGAGGTCAGGGGGAGTTCTGCAGGCGATGCCATAACCTGGAACAGATATCCATAGAGGTCGGGGAGTCTGGCCAGGCCGATGCCATAACCTGGGAACAGATAAGAACACATAGAGGTCGAGGGGGGAGTCTCTGGCGCAGGCCGATGCCATAACCTGGGAACAGTTATACACATAGAGGTCATGGGGGAGTTCTGGCGCAGGCCGATGCCCATAACCTGGGAACAGATATACACATAGAGGTTCAGGGTGGAGTTCTTGGCGGCAGGGCCGATGCCATAACCTGGGAACAGATATACACATAGAGGTCAGGGGGGAGTTCTGGCGCAGGCCGATGCCATAACCTGGGAACAGATATACACATAGAATGACGTAGAACGTCCCGGTCTTCTTCTTCTGTACTATGGGTGATGAAGACATACAGTGGGGAGAACAAGTATTTGATACATCAGAAAAAGCAGAACTTAATATTTGGTACAGAAACCTTTGTTTGCAATTACAGAGATCATACGTTTCCTGTAGGTCTTGACCAGGTTTGCACACAGTGCAGCAGGGATTTTGGCCCGCTCCTCCATACGGACCTTCTCCAGATCCTTTAGGTTTTCGGGGCTGTCGCTGGGCAATACGGACTTTCAGCTCCCTCCAAAGATTTTCTATTGGGTTCAGGTCTGGAGACTGGCTAGGCCACTCCAGGACCTTGAGATGCTTCTTACGGAGCCACTCCTTAGTTGCCCTGGCTGTGTGTTTCGGGTCGTTGTCATGCTGGAAGACCCAGCCACGACCCATCTTCAATGCTCTTACTGAGGGAAGGAGGTTGTTGGCCAAGATCTCGCGATACATGGCCCCATCCATCCTCCCCTCAATACGGTGCAGTCGTCCTGTCCCCTTTGCAGAAAAGCATCCCCAAAGAATGATGTTTCCACCTCCATGCTTCACGGTTGGGATGGTGTTCTTGGGGTTGTACTCATCCTTCTTCTTCCTCCAAACACGGCGAATAGAGTTTAGACCAAAAAGCTCTATTTTTGTCTCATCAGACCACATGACCTTCTCCCATTCCTCCTCTGGATCATCCAGATGGTCATTGGCAAATTTCAGACGGGCCTGGACATGCGCTGGCTTGAGCAGGGGGACCTTGCGTGCGCTGCAGGATTTTAATCCATGACGGCGTAGTGTGTTACTAATGGTTTTCTTTGAGACTGTGGTCCCAGCTCTCTTCAGGTCATTGACCAGGTCCTGCCGTGTAGTTCTGGGCTGATCCCTCACCTTCCTCATGATCATTGATGCCCCACGAGGTGAGATCTTGCATGGAGCCCCAGACCGAGGGTGATTGACCGTCATCTTGAACTTCTTCCATTTTCTAATAATTGCGCCAACAGTTGTTGCCTTCTCACCAAGCTGCTTGCCTATTGTCCTGTAGCCCATCCCAATCTTGTGCAGGTCTACAATTTTATCCCTGATGTCCTTACACAGCTCTCTGGTCTTGGCCATTGTGGAGAGGTTGGAGTCTGTTCGATTGAGTGTGTGGACAGGTGTCTTTTACACAGGTAACGAGTTCAAACAGGTGCAGTTAATACAGGTAATGAGTGGAGAACAGGAGGGCTTCTTAAAGAAAAACTAACAGGTCTGTGAGAGCCGGAATTCTTACTGGTTGGTAGGTGATCTAATACTTATGTCATGCAATAAAATGCAAAAATTAATTACTTAAAAATCATACAATGTGATTTTCTGGATTTTTGTTTTAGATTCCGTCTCTCACAGTTGAAGTGTACCTATGATAAATATTACAGACCTCTACATGCTTTGAAAGTAGGAAAACCTGCAAAATCGGCAGTGTGTCAAATGCTTGTTCTCCCCACTGTATATACTAAATAGATACAGACACGTAGACTGACTCAGAAAACACATTTGTTCAAATGAATTGATGTAATCTTAAAGTTGTACAACATATACCATTTACATTCACATTTTAGTCATTTAGCAGACGCTCTTATCCAGAGCGACTTACAGGAGCAATTAGGGTTAAGTGCCTTGCTCAAGGGCACATCGACAGATTTTTCACCTAGTCGGCTCGGGGATTAGAACCAGCAACCTTTCGGTTACTGGTAGTGTTGAACATGCAGTACATGTACAGGTTGACCATAGCTTTATCTTGCTATATTGGCAATATTTGCAGTAGCCCAATACGTTATAATGTGTGGGTATCAGGTTTGTGCTCAATTGAATTGACTCCCATTTCATTTCTTTGGCTTCTTTTTTAAGGCTTTAGGGTCAACTTGAGGGTTAAACTAATGCATTCTGGGAAATGTAGTTTTTTGTTTGTTTGCGTGGCACATATTGATCAAAATGTACGTAATTAATTAAATTTAATTCATTTGAATATTCTCATACAGGTCTTGTTTTCCTTGATCATACATTTTAAGACTTTGTCCTGAGTTGTTTCATCGATATTTTTAAATGCATGTATATAATGACACGTTTGATGTTTTATGTGATTTCAATTCTATTTCCTTTCATTCAAATTAGAATCGCACTTCTGTATCCTGTTTACTGCTTCAATTCAAATTCATTTCAAAATCAAGAATTTAATTGGAATTTGATGCATTCAGCTCTGAATTGAGCACAACCATGGTGGGTATTATTACTACCAGTGGTTCTATAGCTAGTGTGAAAAGGAAAGGGGGCATTCCTGTCTGGTTGCCCTTTAGTATGGATATAGCATTAGCACGTTATTTCATGTCAATATACTTGCCTTCAATTGCAAATGGTTTCCCCACGGTGAGTGTCTTGCATTCTGCATCTATAGACACCTCGTAGTCTAGTAAGGCCTTGTCCATGATGAAAGCATCCAGTTGCTGTGGATCATGCCTGAAACGACGGAAGAAGATTTACTACTGAATTGCACTACTAAAATGAACAACATCAGGAAGGAATTATTATTTTTCAATGCAAGTCAATTCAACCTTTAAATGTAGACGTTCAAAAAAGACATCATTGGCTGCTTCATGTTACAAGCCCTGGTGTTAACTCATGTATCAAAATACTGAAGATCATATTTTTCAAGAAAAAAAAGTTCCAGTTGGCCAAATGCTTTACCCTGTAAAAATCCAGTGCTTACTAATATATTTAGTTGGAAATAGCTATTAACTGCCTCAGTCTGTAATACCAACATGTTTCAAGCAGACCACCATAGTCCCTGTGCCCAAGAACACTAAGATAACCTGCCTAAATGACTACCGCCCCGTAGCACTCACGTCTGTAGCCATGAAGTGCTTTGAAAGGCTGGTCATGGCTCACATCAACACCATCATCCCAGAAACCCTAGACCCACTCCAATTTGCATATCGCCCCCAACAGATCCACAGATGATGCAATCTCAATTGCACTCCACACTGCCCTTTCCCACCTGGACAACAGGAACACCTACAGTTGAAGTCGGAAGTTTACATACACCTTAGCCAAATACATTTAAACTCAGTTTTTCACAATTCCTGACATTTAATCCTAGTAAAAATTCCCTGTCTTAGGTCAGTTAGGATCACCACTTTATTTTAAGAATGTGAAATGTCATAATAATAGTAGAGAGAATGATTTATTTCAGCTTTTATTTATTTCATCAAATTCCCAGTGCGTCAGAAGTTTACATACACTCAATTAGTATTTGGTAGCATTGCCTTTAAATTGTTTAACTTGGGTCAAACGTTTTGGGTAGCATTCCACAAGCTTCCCACAATAAGTTGGGTGAATTTAGGCCCATTCCTCCTGACAGAGCTGGTGTAACTGAGTCAGGTTTGTAGGCCTCCTTGCTCGCACACGCTTTTTCAGTTCTGCCCACATATTTTCTATAGGATTGAGGTCAGGGCTTTGTGATGGCCACTCCAATACCTTGACTTTGTTGTCCTTAAGCCATTTTGCCACAACTTTGGAAGTATGCTTGGGGTCATTGTCCATTTGGAAGACCCATTTGCGACCAAGCTTTAACTTCCTGACTGATGTCTTGAGATGTTGCTTCAATATATCCACATCATTTTCCTTCCTCATGATGCCATCTATTTTGTGAAGTGCACCAGTCCCACCTGCAGCAAAGCACCCCCACAGCATGATGCTGCCACCCCCGTGCTTCACGGTTGGGATGGTGTTCTTCGGCTTGCAAGCGTCCCCCTTTTTCCTCCAAACATAACGATGGTCATTATGGCTAAACATATATATTTTTCATCAGACCAGAGGACATTTATCCTAAAAGTATGATCTTTGTCCCCATGTGCAGTTGCAGTCTGGCTTTTCTATGTCGGTTTTGGAGCAGTGGCTTCTTCCTTGCTGAGCGGCCTTTCAGGTTATGTAGGACTCGTTTTACTGTGGATATAGATACTTTTGTACCTGTTTCCTCCAGCATCTTCACAAGGTCCTTTGCTGTTGTTCTGGGATTGATTTGCACTTTCGGCACCAAAGTACATTCATCTCTAGGAGACAGAACGTGTCTCCTTCCTGAGCGGTATGACGGCTGTGTGGTCCCATGGTGTTTATACTTGCGTACTATTGTTTGTACAGATGAACGTGGTACCTTCAGGTGTTTGGAAATTGCTCCCAAGGATGAACCAGACTTGTGGAGGTCAAAAAAATATATTTCTGAGGTCTTGGCTGATTTTTTTGATTTTCCCATGATGTCAAGCAAAGAGGCAGTGAGTTTGAAGGTAGGCCTTGAAATAAAATCCACAGGTACACCTCCAATTGACTCAAATGATGTCAATTAGCCTATCAGAAGCTTCTAAAGCCATGACATCATTTTAAGGAATTTTCCAAGCTGTTTAAAGGCACAGTCAACTTAGTGTATGTAAACTTCTGACCCACTGGAATTGTGATACAGTGAATTATAAGCGAAATAATCTGTCTGTAAACAATTGTTGGAAAAATGACTTGTGTCATGCACAAAGTAGATGTCCTAACCGACTTGCCAAAACTATAGTTTGTTAACAATACATTTGTGGAGTGTTTGAAAATCAAGTTTTAATGACTCCAACCTAAGTGTATGTAAACTTCCGACTTCAACTGTACATGTACTTATTACCTCAATTACCTCGACTAACCGGTGCCCCTGCACATTGACTCGGTACCGGTACATTACATTTTAGTCATTTAGCAGACGCTCTTATCCAGAGCAACTTACAGTTAGTGAGTGCATACGTTATTTTTAAATTTTTCATACTGGCCCCCCGTGGGAATCGAACCCACAAACATGGCGTTGCAAACGCCATGCTCTACCAACTGATTTACATCCCTGCCGGTCATCCCCTACCCTACCCTGGACGACGCTGGGCCAATTGTGCGCCGCCCCATGGGTCTCCCGGTCGCGGCCGGCTATGACAGAGCCTGAACCATGATCTCTAGTGGCACAGCTAGCACTGCGATGCAGTGCCTTAGACCACTACTGTTCAGTCGTGTGGTCAGGTGCCACAAAGAGGGACTTAGGAAAATTGCAATTGTCTCAGAACAGGGCAGCACGGCTGGCCCTTGGATGTACACAGAGAGCTAATATTAATAATATGCATGTCAATCTCTCCTGGTCCAAAGTGGAGGAGAGATTGACTTCATCACTACTTGTATTTGTGAGAGGTATTGACATGTTGAATGCACGGAGCTGTCTGTTTAAACTACTAGCACACAGCTCGGACACCCATGCATACCCTACAAAACATGGTTCGGTTCGGTCCTGGTTCGAGTCCAGGCTCTGTTGCAGCCGGCCGTGACCGGGAGACCCATGGGCGGCGCACAATTGGTCCAGCGTCGTCCAAGGTAGGGGAGGGTTTGGCCGGCAGGGATGTGGGTTCGTTTCCCACGGGGGAAAAAAATAAATAAAATAAAATAAAAATAAAAATAAAACAAACAAAAAAACATGTATGCAATCACTAACTGTAAGTCACTCTGGATAAGAGCGTCTGCTAAATGACTAAAATGTAAAAGGTCTATTCACAGTCCCCAAGTCCAGAACAGACTATGGGAGGCGCACAGTACTACATAGAGCCATGACTACATGGAACTCTATTCCATATCAGGTAACTGATGCAAGCAGTAGAATCAGATTTAAAAAACAGATACAATTTATGGAACAGCAGGACTGAAGAGACACACACACTTTGAGCGTTGGCACATTGTAATATTGTTGTATCATACATTTTGTATTGAGGATATGTAGTGGTGTAATAATGTAATATGATGGACTGTTTTACAGTGGGGAAAAAAAGTATTTAGTCAGCCACCAATTGTGCAAGTTCTCCCACTTAAAAAGATGAGAGAGGCCTGTAATTTTCATCATAGGTACACGTCAACTATGACAGACAAAATGAGGAAAAAAAATCCAGAAAATCACATTGTAGGATTTTTTATGAATTTATTTGCAAATTATGGTGGAAAATAAGTATTTGGTCAATAACAAAAGTTTCTCAATACTTTGTTATATACCATTTGTTGGCAATGACACAGGTCAAACGTTTTCTGTAAGTCTTCACAAGGTTTTCACACACTGTTGCTGGTATTTTGGCCCATTCCTCCATGCAGATCTCCTCTAGAGCAGTGATGTTTTGGGGCTGTCGCTGGGCAACACGGACTATCAACTCCCTCCAAAGATTTTCTATGGGGTTGAGATCTGGAGACTGGCTAGGCCACTCCAGGACCTTGAAATGCTTCTTACGAAGCCACTCCTTCGTTGCCCGGGCAGTGTGTTTGGGATCATTGTCATGCTGAAAGACCCAGCCACGTTTCATCTTCAATGCCCTTGCTGATGGAAGGAGGTTTTCACTCAAAATCTCACGATACATGGCCCCATTCATTCTTTCCTTTACACGGATCAGTCGTCCTGGTCCCTTTGCAGAAAAACAGCCCCAAAGCATGATGTTTCCACCCCCATGCTTCACAGTAGGTATGGTGTTCTTTGGATGCAACTCAGCATTCTTTGTCCTCCAAACACGACGAGTTGAGTTTTTACCAAAAAGTTCTATTTTGGTTTCATCTGACCATATGACATTCTCCCAATCCTCTTCTGGATCATCCAAATGCACTCTAGCAAACTTCTGACAGGCCTGGACATGTACTGGCTTAAGCAGGGGGACACGTCTGGCACTGCAGGATTTGAGTCCCTGGCGGCATAGTGTGTTACTGATGGTAGGCTTTGTTACTTTGGTCCCAGCTCTCTGCAGGTCATTCACTAGGTCCCCCCGTGTGGTTCTGGGATTTTTGCTCACCGTTCTTGTGATCATTTTGACCCCACGGGGTGAGATCTTGCGTGGAGCCCCAGATCGAGGGAGATTATCAGTGGTCTTGTATGTCTTCCATTTCCTAATAATTGCTCCCACAGTTGATTTCTTCAAACCAAGCTGCTTACCTATTGCAGATTCAGTCTTCCCAGCCTTCAGTCTTTCTGGTGTCCTTTGACCGCTCTTTGGTCTTGGCCATAGTGGAGTTTGGAGTGTGACTGTTTGAGGTTGTGAACAGGTGTCTTTTATACTGATAACAAGTTCAAACAGGTGCCATTAATACAGGTAACGAGTGGAGGACAGAGGAGCCTCTTAAAGAAGAAGTTACAGGTCTGTGAGAGCCAGAACTCTTGCTTGTTTGTAGGTGACCAAATACTTATTTTCCACCATAATTTGCAATTAAATTCATTAAAAATCCTACAATGTGATTTTCGGGGGGAAAAAATCTCAATTTGTCTGTCATAGTTGACGTGTACCTATGATGAAAATTACAGGCCTCTCTCATCTTTTTAAGTGGGAGAACTTGCACAATTGGTGGCTGACTAAATACTTTTTTCCCCACTGTATGTGGAAGAAGGTGCCATTTGAGACGCAGCTTAAGTCTTTCTGGTTGAGACGCAGCTTAAGTCTTTCTGGTTGAGACGCAGCCTTAGTCTTTCTGGTTGAGATGCAGCCTTAGTCTTTCTGGTTGAGACGCAGCCTTAGTCTTTCTGGTTGAGACGCAGCCTTAGTCTTTCTGGTTGAGACGCAGCCTTAGTCTTTCTGGTTGAGACGCAGCCTTAGTCTTTCTGGTTGAGATGCAGCCTTAGTCTTTCTGGTTGAGACGCAGCCTTAGTCTTTCTGGTTGAGACGCAGCTTAAGTCTTTCTGGTTGAGACGCAGCCTTAGTCTTTCTGGTTGATGTTGTTTAATGTGTGATTTAAGTGCCTTAATGTGTTTGTACCCCAGGAAGAGTAGCTGCTGCCTTGGCAGGAACTAATGGGGATCCATAATAAACCCCAGGAAGAGTAGCTGCTGCCTTGGCAGGAACTAATGGGGATCCATAATAAACCCCAGGAAGAGTAGCTGCTGCCTTGGCAGGAACTAATGGGGATCCTTAATAAACCCCAGGAAGAGTAGCTGCTGCCTTGGCAGGAACTAATGGGGATCCATAATAAACCCCAAGAAGAGTAGCTGCTGCCTTGGCAGGAACTAATGGGGATCCCTAATAAACCCCAGGAAGAGTAGCTGCTGCCTTGGCAGGAACTAATGGGGATCCATAATAAACCCCAGGAAGAGTAGCTGCTGCCTTGGCAGGAACTAATGGGGATCCATAATAAACCCCAGGAAGAGTAGCTGCTGCCTTGGCAGGAACTAATGGGGATCCATAATAAACCCCAGGAAGAGTAGCTGCTGCCTTGGCAGGAACTAATGGGGATCCCTAATAAACCCCAGGAAGAGTAGCTGCTGCCTTGGCAGGAACTAATGGGTATCCATAATAAACCCCAGGAAGAGTAGCTGCTGCCTTGGCAGGAACTAATGGGGATCCATAATAAACCCCATTAAGAGTAGCTGCTGCCTTGGCAGGAACTAATGGGGATCCATAATAAATACAAATACAAACTATTAGCACTAAAGAATATGCACTGTTTTTGAAAGAAACCCAGTCAAGCAGACACAGTTTGCAATTCTTTGTCAAAATGAATGGATCTTATCATTGCGAAGCAAGTGCCAGTCTTCCCTCCCACAATGGGAGAAAGATATTGTACATTTCATCAACCCGATCTCAGCCCCCAGATCCATTAACTCAGCTCTGCTCCACAGAAGATGTGAGATGACTTGAGAAACAGTCACACCATAACACTTCCTCCTCCATGCTTTACAACCATAACACCTCCTCCTCCATGCTTTACGATGGGAACCACGCATGCAGAGATCATCCGTTCACCCACACCGCATCTCACAAAGACACGGCGGTTGGAACCAAAAATCTCAAATTTAGACTCCAGACCAAAGGACACATTTCCACCAGTCTAATGTCCATTGCTCATGTCTCTTGGCCCAAGCAGGTCTCTTCTTCTTATTGGTGTCCTTTAGTAGTGGTTTCTTTGCATCAATTCGACCATGAAGGCCTGAGTCACACAGTCCCATCTGAACAGTTGATTTTGAGATGTGTCTGTGACTTGAACTCTGTGAAGCATTTATTTGGGCTGCAATTTCTGAGGCTGGTAACTCTAATGCTACTTGCTGCAGAGGTAACTCTGGGTCTTCCATTCCTGTGGCGGTCCTCATGAGAGTCAGTTTCATCATAGCGCTTGATGGTTTTTGCGACTGCACTTCAAAGTTCTTGAAATGTTCCTGTATTGACTGACCTTCATGTCTTAAAGTAATGTTGGACTGTCGTTTGTCTTTGCTTATTTGAGCTGTTCTTGCCATAATATGGACTTGGTATTTTACCAAATAGGGCTATCTTCTGGTTACCCCCCCCCCCCCCCCCCCCCCCCCCTCTACACAACTGAATGGCTGAAACGCATTAAGAAGGAAAGAAATTCCACAAATTAACTTTTAAGAAGGTACACCTGTTAATTGAAATGCATTCCAGGTGACTACCTCATGAAGCTCGTTGAGAGAATGCCAAAAGTGTGCAAAGCTGTCATCAAGGCAAGGGGTGGCTATTTGAAGAATCTCAAATATAAAATATATTTTGATTTGTTTAACACTTTTTTGGTTACTACATGATTCCATATGTGTTATTTCATAGTTTTGATGTCTTCACTATTATTCTACAATTTAGAAAATAGTAAAAATAAAGAACAACCCTTGAATGAGTAGTTGTGTCCAAACTTTTGACTGGTAGTGTATTTCCATTAATTTTTTCAACTGATACCGTGACCTTGTTCTCATCTTTCCATGGAGGGGGCATAATATCTAGGCCAAACCGTTTGGACACTACAGACAGTTTTGTGAGAATACAGATTTTTTGGGGGGATGACTCATGGTCGGACAAACACCGGTCTAGCTCTGTCACCTGAGGGGGTTTTAAGTCAACTCGAGGCAGACTGTCATGCTCTGGCTCCGGGACTGTGTATTTTGAGCCAGGGTGTGTTCATTTGGTTGTGTTTGGTATTGGTTGTGTTGTATTTGGTTGTGTTTCCTTGTTTGGTCGTGTGACTCCCAATCAGTGGTAACGAGTGTCAGCTGTCGGCTCGTTATCTCTGATTGGGAGCCATATTTAAACTGTCAGTGTTCACCTTAGTGTTGTGGGTTTTTGTTCCTTGTCAGTCATTATAACTGAGGACTTCACGATTCGTCGTTGTTTGTTGTTTTTTTGTAGTGAGTACTTTAATTTAATAAAGTCATGTTCGCTCAACGCGCTGCGCTTTGGTCTCCCTCATTAGACGATCGTGACACAGACTCAAGCAAACTCCAGGCAGACTCAAGCAAACTCCAGGCAGACTCAAGCAAACTCCAGGCAGACTCAAGCAAACACTCAAAGGCAAACTTAAGCCAACGCTCAAAGTCACTTAAGGCTGACTAAAGCCAACACTCAAAGGCAGACTTAATAGCGATTTAAGGCTATTTTCATTGCAAATATTGGCTAAGCAATAGGCAGACAGGCTGGCAAATGTCAGTAATGTGCTGTCTATGAAATCGTGGTAAATGATGATCATTGAGAAGGGAAATACAGTTGTAGCCTATGTTACACAGAGTGTTCTATGATACGCAGAGTGTTCTATGGTACGCAGATTGTTCTATGGTACGCAGATTGTTCTATGGTACGCAGATTGTTCTATGGTACGCAGATTGTTCTATGGTACGCAGATTGTTCTATGGTACGCAGATTGTTCTATGGTACGCAGATTGTTCTATGGTACGCAGATTGTTCTATGGTACGCAGATTGTTCTATGGTACGCAGATTGTTCTATGGTACGCAGATTGTTCTATGGTACGCATATTGTTCTATGGTACGCAGATTGTTCTATGGTACGCATATTGTTCTATGGTACGCAGATTGTTCTATGGTACGCAGATTGTTCTATGATTGTTCTATGTTATGCAGATTGTTCTATGTTAAGCAGATTGTTCTATGTTAAGCAGATTGTTCTGTCCCAATGCAGCTATCTAGGCACCATATCAAACACAATAATGTTTGTTCAAATAGCCGCAGGAAGGGGGGGGGGGGGGGGGGAGATACGTAAAACAATGTTTGTGTAAAATAACACGTGCAGAACGTGAATCGGGTCTTCAGATCTGGGGAAAAAAGATCCATAGGGTCAGGGTGGTTACCTACGGATCTGCAGTCTCAGACAACATTTACATGGGGTAGCTTTGTGGGTGGTTACCTACGGATCTGCAGTCTCAGACAACATTTACATGGGGTAGCTTTGTTTAACTAGAGTGCTGGCCACAGACTTTGTAAATCTGTCTCTCTGTGTCAGAGTATTTTATGTAGGACTTTCTGACATATTCAGAACAGTTATTGAGTCTCCCGTTGCCTGTATTAAGCTGGTACTGTATAATCTGCATAATGGTACTAATGTTAAAGCTGTGATGAGTCAGTATTGTATAATCTTGACTCACTTCAGATGTTCTATTCCATCTGGGGTTGCTGGTACGTTGTATCGTCTCATGTATTCGTGCATCTCTGGAAAGCTTTTCTTCAGATAATCCTCTGCACTGCTCTCCCGGACCGTCGCGAAGCGGAACCCCTGTGATGGGTGATGAAGCTGGAAGAATAGACAATATGGAAATGTTACTGTGGTCTCTCACCTCCTGTTACTGTTACTGTGGTTTCTCACCTCCTGGAACTCTTACGGAGTTCTCTCACCTCCTGGAACTCTTACGGAGTTCTCTCACCTCCTGGAACTCTTACGGAGTTCTCTCACCTCCTGGAACTCTTACGGAGTTCTCTCACCTCCTGGAACTCTTACGGAGTTCTCTCACCTCCTGGAACTCTTACGGAGTTCTCTCACCTCCTGGAACTCTTACGGAGTTCTCTCACCTCCTGGAACTCTTACGGAGTTCTCTTACCTCCTGGAACTCTTACGGAGTTCTCTTACCTCCTGGAACTCTTACGGAGTTCTCTCACCTCCTGGAACTCTTACGGAGTTCTCTCACCTCCTGGAACTCTTACGGAGTTCTCTCACCTCCCATGCCTATTCTAAGCTTGCTTGCTGTCTGGTGTTCTTATTTCTATTAGTCGTGTTTTTTATCTGACCTTTTTGTTGTTTTGATTACTGTATTGTTAAGAGAGAGCAAGAAAGGCATTTCACTGTACTAGTGCACGTGATAATAGAAACTTCAAACTAAACTGTGATTTGTAATTTAGATTTATAAAGGAGTTGGGTTGTCTCACTGCTTTCATATTTTGTAGACAGGACAGTGAAAGGCTGACAGGAAAGATAGGAGGAGAGGGTGTGCTAGAATAGCAGTGGGTCGGATTCCAACCCACTTTCACACTGGGATGTGTTACCATAGCCGCGGGAAGTAGGGATGCTCCCCCTCAAAAATCAGAAGAAAAAAAATACTGTATGTTCATATAATTATTTGTGTTGTTGTTGAAAATTGTATTTTTTTTTCACAAAAGTAGTGCACTGGGCCTTTACTAGTCCTGTGTAAGCTGTACTAGTCTCCCCTCAGCCCCACCCCTATGAACTATGAACCCTATCTTTCCATACTCACCAATCACAAATGAGGCACTATTTATGCATGTACTACAAGTAGTACTGATCTACATACCATTCATTTGTAATCCCATATTTGATAGGAGGTAATACGGCTGAGTTGTCTACCCTTACCTTTGGATCGTGTATTCCTGAGAGCTGCTCGAAGGTCTTCTCCCCCACCATGACCGCGGCCAGGTTCGCTGTGTAGGTGGAGAGACAGAACAGGCAGAAGATAGCCCAGAGATTCATGAGGAACCGACCCGTCCAGCACTTAGGAGGCTTAATGGCGGCGGTACGGCCGAACAGGATGGCATAGCAGACGTTCAGAGCCGAGGAGAAGGAGAACACCTTATCTCTGTTCCTGCCTCGCGGCGTCATCCCAAACGGGCTGTTCCACTCGTAGACGGTGAGGAACACGGCCGTGACGTGCAGAGAGACGAAGATCCCCAGCCACATGGACCAGTGCAGGGGCCACATGAAGGCCCCGATGGGCGCGGCCGTGTCCCGGCTCCGCACCAGGATGCCCAGAGAGGTGGAGAAGAACGGGGAGGTGAAGTCTATAACCCTGCTACGGGCCGAGTTTATACTGAAGGATGTGACCGCCAGGTGGGCCGCTCCGCTGAGAAGATCCCCCACCAGCCCTGTCCAGCGCCCGTTCTTAAACCCACCGTACTTGCCGTCGCCTACAATATACAGGTCGAAGTCGAAGCCCATGTCCTCCGCTAGTTTCTCCAGTAGATCGATGCAGTAGCCGTAGCAGCATTTCTTATACTCAATGGGAATGCTGTCATTAGGCCCCTGCATCTGGAGGAAGAGGGACTGGAGCAGGGCTGTGTTGTTGGTGAGGGGGTCCAGGCAGAGCTGACCAGCGGGACAGAGACCGTCCTCATCCACCTCCCGGGTGAAGACGAATGGGTGTTCCACTAACGTCACCACCCGGAGGTGGAGCCGCGACGGGTACCGCCAGTCCCCTCCTTGGTGGGGTGTCTGTTTGTTAGACCAGGCAGCACAGTCCATAAGGGAGAGAGAGAGGGAGAAAGGGGGAGGGAGAGAGGGGGAGGGCGGGAGAGGGAGGGAGGGAGGGGAGGGAGAGAGAGGGAGAGTGGGAGAGGGGGGAGGGAGAAGGAGGGAGGGAGAGAGAGAGAGAGAAAGGGAGAGACAGAGAGAGAGAGAGAGAGAGAGAGGGGGAGGGAGAGAATATAATAGTAGTAGCAGCAGGATCAACAAGCTTGGCATAAGGAAGTAGGTGGCAAGGAGTGGAATGATAGCACAAACACTGGTACCCAGGCTACAACATTTTGACATCACAGAAATGTTGGTCAGTTTAGTCCATTAAGACCCTCTGGTTCCAAGCTTATCTCACATCTGTCACAGTGCGCTCGACGGCAGCGAGCGAGCGCGCGCTGCTAAGGCTGCTCGCGCTTCTCCTATCTAGCACACTAACGCCAGTCGCGGCATCTGCGCTCGACTCTCTCGAGCGCTCTCTCTATGTCGCTCTCGCTGCTATCTCTCTCTGCCTCTCTACCATCTCTCTTCCTCACTCTTTCTTTCTCTCTCTCTCCCTCCATCTAACTCCCTCCTCTCTCTCTCTCTTCCTCTCTCTCCTTCCCCCTCACACCTGTTTGTTGGTCCAGGCAGTGTAGTCCATGAGCACCCTGTCGTGCTTCCATCGGCCCAGCCTGGTCCACATGGGGTTCCCTATGGGGTCGTGTTGCAGGGACCAGATGAAGTGGTGGCTCTCTGAGGAGATCACTGTCTCCTTCTGGGACGAGATGAAACCACTCAGACCGTCAAATGACGTGTTGGACAGAAACCTGCAGGGAGGGGTTAGGGTTAGTGTCAGGTTAGGGTTTGTGTCAGCTTTAGGTTAGGCCAGCACATAAAACCACTCAGATTATTCTGATGTGGAACTGTCTTCTTTTCATGAATCAAACCATACCATTCTATACATCTTACAGCTTGACAATGCTTTTCTAACAGATTATTTTATTGTGGCAAGCTGTGCTTTTGGAGTGACCAGTTGTTTGGTAACCAACAGCTGACTGTGCAGCTGTGTGTGTGTGTGTGTGTGTGTGTGTGTGTGCGTGTGTGTGTGTGTTAGTGTGTGTGTGTGTGTGTGTGTTGTGTGTGTGTGTGTGTGCGTGTTAGTGGGGTGTGTGTGGTGTGTGTGGGCGTGTTGTGGGTGTTAGTGTGTGTGTGTGTGTGTGTGGGTGTGGCGTGTTAGTGTGTGTGTGTGACGTGTTAGTGTGTGTGGTGGTGTTAGTGTGTGTGTTGTGTGTTATGTGGTGTGTGTGTGTGTGGGCTATGTGGTGTGTTGTGTGTGTGTGTGTGTTATCTGCTAGCTGCTACAGCTTAAATCTCCTTTAGACCACAGGGAAGACAGAAATCTGACATGGGTGAAAAGCTGTCAGGAAGAAAAACTGCAGATAGCAGAATGTTTGGAAACACAGCAGATAGCAGAACAGAGGTGGCAGGCAGGTAAGGAGGAGGCTGCAGGGATAACAGAGGTGGCAGGCAGGTAAGGAGGAGGCTGCAGGGATAACAGAGGTGGCAGGCAGGTAGGTAGGAGGAGGCTGCAGGGATAACAGAGGTGGCAGGCAGGGTAAGAGGAGGCTGCAGGGATAACAGAGGTGGGAGGCAGTGCATGAGTAAGGAGGAGGCTGCAGGGATTACAGAGGTGGCAGGCAGGTAAGGAGGAGGCTGCAGGGATTACAGAGGGTGGCAGGCCAGGTAAGGAGGAGGCGCAGGGATAAACGAGGTGGGCAGCAGGTAAGGAGGGAGGCTGCAGGGATAACAGAGGTGGCAGGCAGGTAAGGAGGAGGCTGCAGGGATAACAGAGGTGGCAGGCAGGTAAGGAGGAGGCTGCAGGGATAACAGAGGTGGCAGGCAGGTAAGGAGGAGGCTGCAGGGATAACAGAGGTGGCAGGCAGGTAAGGAGGAGGCTGCAGGGATAACAGAGGTTGGCCAGGCAGGTAAGGAGGAGGCTGCAGGGATAACAGAGGGTGGCAGGCAGGTAAGGAGGATGCTGCAGGGATAACAGAGGTGGCAGGCAGTGTAAGGAGGAGGCTGCAGGGATAACAGAGGTGGCAGGCAGGTAGGAGGAGGCTGCAGGGATAAAGAGGTGGCAGGCAGGTAAGGAGGAGGCTGCAAGGGCTAACAGAGGTGGCAGGCAGGTAAGGAGGAGGCTGCAGGGATAACAGAGGTGGACAGGCAGGTAAGGAGGAGGCTGCAGGGATAACGAGGTGGCAGGGAGGTAAGGAGGAGGCTGCAGGGATACAGAGGTGGCAGGCAGGTAAGGGAGGAGCTGCAGGGATAACAGAGGTGGCAGGCAGGTAAGGAGGAGGCTGCAGGATAACAGAGGTGGCAGGCAGGTAAGGAGGAGGCAGCAGGGATAAAAAGAGGTGGCAGGCAGGTAAGGAGGAGGCTGCAGGGATAACAGAGGTGGCAGGCAGGTAAGGAGGAGGCTGCAGGGATAACAGAGGTGGCAGGCAGGTAAGGAGGAGGCTGCAGGGATAACAGAGGTGGCAGGCAGGTAAGGAGGAGGCTGCGGGATAAACAGAGGTGGCAGGCAGGTAAGGAGGAGGCTGCAGGGATAACAGAGGTGGCAGGCAGGTAAGGAGGAGGCTGCAGGGATAACAGAGGTGGCAGGCAGGTAAGGAGGAGGTGCAGGATAACAGAGGTGCAGGCAGGTAAGGAGGAGGCTGCAGGGATAACAGAGGTTGGCAGGCAGGTAAGGAGGGAGGCTGCAGGGATTAACAAGAGGTGGCAGGCAGGTAAGGAGGAGGCTGCAGGGATAACAGAGGTGGCAGGCAGGTAAGGAGGAGGCTGCAGGGATTACAGAGGTGGCAGGCAGGTAAGGAGGAGGCTGCAGGGATAACAGAGGTGGCAGGCAGGTAAGGAGGAGGCTGCAGGGATAACAGAGGTGGCAGGCAGGTAAGGAGGAGGCTGCAGGGATACAGAGGTGGCAGGAGGTAAGGAGGAGGCTGCAGGGATTACAGAGGTGGCAGGCAGGTAAGGAGGAGGCTGCAGGGATTACAGAGGTGGCAGGCAGGTAAGGAGGAGGCTGCAGGGATTACAGAGTTGGCAGGCAGGTAAGGAGTGAGGCGCAGGATTCCAGATTTGGCAGGCAGGTAGGCGGAGGCTGCAGGGATTACAAAGAAAAGACAGTGGAGATTACTCAGAACAGACAGTGGAGTCTACTCTGCAGAGCATGACTCTCCCCAGGTCACTGACAGGCTCAGAACAGACAGTTGGAGTCTGTCTCTGCCAGAGTCATGACTCTCCCCCGGTCACTCACATTCTCATAACAGACATTGGAGGTCTACTCTGCAGACAGACTCTCACCATTCACTGACATGCTCAAAGAACATACAGTGGAGTCTACTATGGCAGGCATGACTCTCCCCAGGTCACTGACATGCTCAGAACAGACAGTGGAGTCTACTCTGCAGAGCATGACTCTCCCCAGGTCACTGACATGCTCAGAACAGACAGTGGAGTCTACTATGCAGAGCATGACTCTCCCCAGGTCACTGACATGCTCAGAACAGACAGTGGAGTCTACTATGCAGAGCATGACTCTCCCCAGGTCACTGACAGGCTCAGAACAGACAGCGGAGCCTCTGAACCGTGTTTCTATGGCAACATAATGTTAGGACACTCTCCACTGTCTAAAACTGTCGGACAGGGCTCCCTTCTCTTAGTCAGTTACCTTCCCTGTATCACATTCTACTAAGCTCTATTCAATGTCACATCGGATTATCTGTTGGCAAAGTTTTTGTTGTTGTTGTTGTGGCATTTTAAAAGAGAAATATGTCATGAAAAATGATACAGTACATTTAGTGTTGTCACCATACCAGAGAGTTATGACTTCAATATCCGTATCAGGTTTAGTATGATAATACTCCATACCATACTATCATAATACTCCATACCATACTATCATAATACTCCATACCATCATGATACTCCATACCATACTATCATAATACTCATACCAACATGATACGCCATACCATCATAATCTCCATATCATCAGAAGATCCAGATCAAATCATAATACTAATACTCCATACCATCATAATACTCCCAAACATCATAAATACTCCATACCATCATGATACTCCATACCATCATAATACTCCATACCATCATGATACTCCATAACATCATAATACTCCATACCATCAGTGTGTCGGGTAGTGTGTCGGGAGAGGTTTCGTGTTTTCTCTAGCTGGAGTAACAGAGGTAAGCTCATAAGCCTCCATACCATCAGTGTGTCGGGTAGTGTGTCGGAGAGGTCGTGTTTTTCCTCATACTTGAGGAAATCAGAGGGAGCGTCTCATATGGTGTTGAGTATAGCCTTAACCATGTATTAGATCGTAGGTAGGTAGTTCGCTGTAGTTAGTATTGTATTGTATTATCGGTTATAATGTTGTTATTGTAGGTTTCTGAGGTCTTGTAGGTTAGTATCGACGCACGAGCAGCTAGCTAGCGGGTACTACTGGTACCGATTAGCAACGCTGGAGATCTGGTCCACTGTTATGTAGGCTAGCCAGTTTATTTTTTGCTTAACCATGTAATTCGATCGTAGGTAGGTAGTTAGCCGTATTTAGGTATTGTCTTTATTAGAGGTTAGTAATGTTGTTAGTGTGGTTTCCGTAGTTACTTGAGGTTAGTATCGAATCACGAGCTAGCTAGCTAGCGGGTAGCTCTGTAACGATAGCACCGCTGGCGACGTTTCCAATTAATGTGCGCTGCCAACGTTTAATTTGTTGCTGCGTTATAAAGACTAGAACACACGACTTGAATTATCTGTTTAGTGGGCTAACACCCTCGGGCAGTTTGTTGTAACCAAGTATTGATGCTAATTGTGTGTTAATGATCTAGCTTGCAAGTTAGCTACTGCGTCAATAGCTAGGGCATCGTGGTTGTTGTGTGTGTTACTGTGTCTTGGCATGGCCGGGCTGTAGCAACGAACGAGCTCTACCGTTTTTTTTCGAACAGAGTCAGAGTCA